GTGCTTCCTGCCCGGATGCAGGGGGTGGAGTCTCGGCCCAGGGGCTCAGGGTGTTAGGGAAGAGCTGGCAGAGGATGGCGAGCAGGTGGCAGAGGCGAAGGGCCGGCTGTACTGTGGGCTGCTGGGAGTCCCTGCAGGCTCTGCAGCAGGAGTGAGTGCATCTGGAGCCTTTCCAGAAGGTGGATGGGCTGGGGGCAGGGGGCACAAGACCAGATGCCAAAAAGAAAATATGGGTGGGTGCGGTGCGGTGGGGGTGCTCACCTAGCATGGTTGTGGCTCTGAGTTCCATTCCTAGCACGGCAAAAAAAGAAAAAAGCTATTGGTATTGATATTGTGTTTTAATTCTAAGGAATGTTGGAAATATTTTCCGAATTTCTAAGGAGCCCATGAGCATTGGTCCTTATCATAAACACCAGGCTTCCCTTCTTCACCCCAAGTCTCCTCCCGCCTCCGTTCTTTTCCTTTCTCTGAGTCGGAGGCTGACTGACGGAGACGGAAGTGAAGTGTCTAATCAGTCAGAGGACCAGGAGCCTGCACTGAATGTGGAGTTTGTCAACAGCACAGGACTTCGTGTAACACAATTCGCTTTCCCAGCAGCCACCCCATGGAGCGGAGGTCACCCAGGCTTGGTGCACAGCCTGTGCCTCATGAATGTCAGATTAAACCCGGTTGGCCTGTTCCACAGTGCTGCACCTGGGGCCGTAATGCAACCTCTGCTTGCTTTCGGGAGGGGTGGCAGGTTCTTCTCAGAGTGCATGTGCGCAGGAGCGGGTGGAGGTGAGCACCCCATGATCACGAGGGGTGCGCTCTGTCCTGAGATTGTACCTGTAATCACCCTTCTTTTCCTGACACATCCAGTAAGCGAATGAGAACATTTTCCCTTTTTGTTCCCACAGAGCCAGTGTAGGAGGTCTGAGAGCTACAACTGTAGTGAGCCTTCCGTCACTGGCCCCTCCATTCCAGCAGCTGTCCGGGGCCTCTGTGTGGCTAAATTCGAGTGACTGCAGTGGTGGTGGAGTGCTAGAAGTGGGTTGGTCTTTCTCCCCACCTCTCGGCCTCTGCTGTCCGTGAGCATCCACTCCAGGTGGTCCTGCACACTGCTTCAGGAGGAGAGTTTAGAGATACGGATTCAACCACGGTACTCCTGTAACCGAAACCTGCATTCCCCAAAGCCAGGGCGCGGGGCGTGGCCAGGTCCCCCCCTCCCACTGGCCCCTGTTCCTCCCTGGGTCCCCCTTCTGTTGCCCGTGTCCTTGTCCTTACAGTGCTCCCTGCGAGCTCACTGAGCATGTGTGTATTGGCGCTGGACTCCTCTCTGGGACTGGATGAGCCAGGCAGGAATGCGCCTGTTTTGTTCTCTGTTCTATGTGCCTGGTCTCGCCCCACGTCTGCCACAGCACGCGTGCACATACAAAGTACTGTTGAAGAATAACTTATGCACACCCTTACTTTTTCCTTTTAAAGACAGGGCCTCACTATGTTGCCTAGGCTGCTCTCCAACTCCTGGATTCAAGTGATCCTCTTGCCTTAGCCTCCCAAGTGCTGGAACTACAGGCTAGTGGCACCCAAGCCAGGGCACCTACCTTTTATAATTCCTTCTATTGTTGACCTAGACTAGTAGTTTAGTTTAGGTCTGTTGACTGGGCATCTTCTATGAACCAGGCACTGTTTTTGGTGTGGAAATGCAGCAACAGAAAATCCTGGCCTGCAGGATGCTTTTTTGCTGGTGAGTCAGGGATCTGTTTGCATGCTCTGAGTCACGTATGAGTTGATTTAATTTGCTCAGCATCCTCTTGACCAATGGGAGACAGGGGCCTGAGGACAGGAGATAGGACCCAGGGAGCCTTCCACCCAGGTCCTCAGAGGAACTAAGCCCCAGCTGCTCGAAGGGGTTGTACACCCAGGATATCTCTCTCCTCTCCTCCCCACCCCCCCTTTCTTTCTGTTCACAGTCCCTTTTTTTCACCCTTATTACATGGAGCCACTTCCCAAAAGAAACTCTCTGCCTGTCAGTAGTTCTCTGCTGCTGCTTTCGGGGGAAGCCAAGCTAACACGGATGGCATTTCAACTCCTGTGATTTCTACCTTGCTTCCTTGGATTGTGTTGTATTCTGACTTCTTCAATGGGATGGATAAGATATTGTTATATTTTCTCCAGTCACACACTCAGGGCTTGTCAAATATTAATAAACCATATGTTGGTTTTGACCTGATTTGATGACAGGAAAGAATGCAGTGCTGTCTGTGGCCCAGGGGAAGCCAGTGAGTAGAGCCCTCCACTGGATGTGGAGTGGAGTTGGACCCATCCGTCTGAGGATTTTCCTTTGTGAGCCCACCTGGTTCCTGCCAGTCCCTGTGTCTTGACTTTGGCAGCAGCAGGTCGGCAGCTGCTCAGGTGGCTCTGGGGCTCTGAGCAGCCCATGGCTGGCTGCTCCCTGCAAGGGGCTCTGCCTGCCATGTGCTTCCTCCATTCTGTGGGTGGGAGAGGGAAGAGGCCCCTCTGCCTGGTGGGATCCATGTGTCCTTCATCTGCTGCCAGTGCTGGAAACCAGGTATCAGAACGTTGTGGCTGACCGTGGCCATAGTCAGGGACTCCATGAATCAAGTGACTTCAAGATTCCATGCCAACCCTGACTGAATCTCACAGATACAGAAAGTGATGGACAACTGAGAAGGGGCAAAGAGCATCCAGCATCCACTGGAGCTGTAGTTTCCAGGATACCAAAAACAGGATGCTTCTGTGACCGTGGACTACTTTTCTGCTCATGGTTTCTGGAAAGTGGGAAGGCGGGGCCCATGGGCTCTGTACTCAGATGACAGAGCCAGAAGGAGTCAGATCTCTCAGCTGCACTTTGGCTCGTCTCTTCCCATTAACGCCTTTGGTGCTGGTTACAGTACTGCATCTGCTCTAAGACCTCGGCGATGGCTCCGCCTGTCTGCTGCTGCTTTTCCTAGCTGGCCACACATATTAACAAATGAGCCTGGCATATATCTGATAATTCTTTTGGTAATAGATTTTTCTGTCTTTTTTTTTTTTTTGGATTTTTTGAGACAGGATCTTGCTACATAACTCAGGCTGGTCTTGAACTCACTATGTAGCCCAGGCTGGCCTCGAACTTGTAGCGATCCTCCTGCCTCAGCCTCCTGAGTGCTGGGATTACAGGCGTGTGCTTTGACACAATGGAGATTCACATTCAATCTTAAGAAATGATGCCTGCCTCGTGTCATCTCCCCAGTTGCAGTTTTTGAAACTTAGTATGATGTTACAAGTAGGGTACTGATGCGAGTACGATTCACCTCTCTTAGGCAGGTTTTCTGATTTTCTCACACTCATGTAAGTTCTGTGCAATTTTATCACCTCACCATGATTAAGATACTCAGCCCCCAAACCACAAAAGTACCTTTTACAATCATTCCTACTTTCCTCCTGTCTCACCTCAGCCCTCACCTGATGTTATTTCAAAATCATTTTATTTAGAAATAAATTCAAAGTTACAGAAATGTTCTAATACACCCTGTACCCAGCTCACCGGTAACCTTTTTGGTTTGTCAGTCTTTCCCATCAATATGTATCCCCCTCCCCCCCAAATCACTTGCGGGCACTTGCAGGTTTACCCCTGCAGTGCGTGTTTCCTAAGAACAGAAATACTCTCACACACGGTTTGGGTACACATTATGGACACCATTAAATGGAACACTTATCCAATACTTTCGTCCACTATGTGGATTCTGATTTTTTCAAGTGTAGGGTTCCTTATTACCCGACCCGCTGCCGTTCAGGTCAGTGTCCAGGCCGTTGGCCCTCTAATCTGGGGCTGGGCCCAGCCTCTTTTGCCTTTCAGACACTGAGATTCTGGAAGGCCGCCCTCGTGCTGCCTGGTAGGTGTTCCTCTCTGTGGGTGTCTGAGGTGTCGCTGTCCGGTTCAGGGGGTTCGCTGTCCCGGAGAGGCGGGCGCCGTGGGAAGGACAGGGCGATCACCTGGTCCAGGGGAACCGCCTGCCCCCCGTGTGGTCCCTACTTCCCCAGTGTCACCAGCAAGCAAACTCGAGCCGGGAGCCAGGTCCACCCGGCCAATACCGAGGCCGGCAGACCCCTGCAGCTGGCGTCCACTTGTACTTGGGGCCGCAGGTCCATCCTGGGGCCTGGTTTCCTGCACCTCCGGCTTTGGCCGCAGTCTGGTGCCCGCGACCTGTGGGCCGAGGCAGGCGGGAGAGGCAGCCTCAGCAGCCCCCCAGAGGGCCGGTGGATGAGCTGCCCTGCCCACCGGGCTGCGCGGGCTCCTCCCGGCCCCGGCCCCTCCTCCGCCCCATCCCTGTTACCTCGCCCTTTGGCGGCCTCTCACTCAGGTGCCCGTCCCCGTCCCCACCCCGGTTTGGGCCCCAGGACCGGCCCCTAGTCCGAGCTCCCGGCTGGCGGTCGCAGACCCGAGCGCAGAGCCCGAGGGCGTCCCGGAGGCGGTGCCCCGCAAGGGGCCGAGTGGGCGGGGTCCATGAGGGCGGAGCCTGGAGGGGCGTGGTCGGGCGGAACTCGACCGGGAGGATGGGCGAGCCCCGGGCGGGCAGGCGTGGGCCGGCGTGGTGGGCGGGGCCTTGCCTGGCGGGCCGGCAGTGGGCGGGGCCTGCGCAGCGCGGTGACGGCAGCCGGGAGGTGCGCGCCGCCGCCCGACCCCGGGGAGCCATGGCGAGAGCACGCGCCGCGC